TGTGATGAATAAAATTTAGTTTTCTATACTTTTATGTTAATTTTCGATTTAATTTCATACAAACTCATATTTTGGTAATATATTTTTTCTAAATACAAGTAAGTTTTTTCCATAAAAGTTTCATACAATAGTAAATACAGAAACCAAATTAAGTTTTAGCATATACTGCTTTCATTTTTAGCATCTGATACCAAACACCTCTGGGAAACTTTAAAGAAAAACGCGGTATATTCAATTTATTCGGAATACCGCTTTCATTCTTGGTGAAACTCCTCATAATAATAAGAATAAATGCGGTATGTAGATTTCTGGAAAAAGTATTGAATTTTAAGAAATTAAAATACGTTCTATAGAATTCTGGAGATATTTAATACAAGAATCTACAATAAAAATTATTTAAATGTCATAAATGCGAAAGGGCAAAGCCAAAAACTTTAAAAGTCAATATTTCAGTTCACCGCCTCATGAACATACCGCGTTTATTCTTAGGAGGGCAGTGTGTGTGTCAAGGAGCGATCACCAGGTCAGTTAAATAATTATTATTTTGTTTTTGTGAGTTCAATTTACGCAAGTATTATGTTTTTTCCAATTTTTATGTTTTTTTTGTTGGTTTATAACTTTTTTTATAACATGTGCATTGTTTATGTATTTAGCCAGAATCGTTTCAACACAGATAAAGGAGTAAATTAGAACCTAAGAAATTATGTGCTGTCTTTTTGTGCTGAGATTTTGATTTTGTGTATTCAGAGCGTGCATTAGAGCCTTGTTGAATTTACTAACATTTTCCTACCCTGACGAGAGACTATCCTAGTAAATTAAGAAAAATCAATCTAGAGATATTGGCTCAAAAACAACTATAGCTGTGAGTTACGTAACCAGGACCTCAGTACCCGCCACAGATGGGCTAACTAACCAAAAAACTCTTCAGTATTGATTATAGGTAGTGTGGATTGAATGTAGTGTGTGTAATTGAAATTTTAGCACAAGAACAGGGGCGGTACCTAATTTAAACTTTTATTGACTTAAATTATTGAATTATTGACTCACAATTATTATTAAAATGACACAGTATGTTTCGATTTTTGGGGAGTGTTAGATCGAGGGTTTCTCTGCCGTTCTCTTTCCCCTCGAGAATTCTAGGTCGAGAACGGTACGTTTTTCTTTGAAAATAAAGGAGGCGTTTCAAAGTTTTCGTTTCTTTTACGTATCACAACTTTCCTTAAATTTCCCAAATATTTGCTATGTCGGGCGCATGTCCAGTAAGTAAAATTGAGTAAGTTTCACAACGTAGGTACTATTTGTTTTTCATTTCATTTTTCAGGATTTGTTGTTTAAAAAGTAATAAAAAATTCTCATCGTTCAATCTTACTGAGCGAACCTGGGTATGTTATACTACACAAGTTTAACTACGTTTTCAATTGAGAAGTGTTGCACGCAAGGTCACTGTCTTTCCCCAATATAGTTTATGGAAGTTCATAACAATTCCTTCTAATCGTATCAAATATTGAGGAGTACTTATGAAATTAATCAGGAAAACCTAAAGAGGCACAACCATGTTGAAAACAAAACAAATAAAGCAAGGAAAGGGTTAAATATAATAAAATGTTTAGGTAGCTTGGTGGGGGATATTTGGGTGCCAAAATTTTAGCACTAATATTTATTATCTCTCGAGCAGCTACATATAATAGATGTTATGTAGGCAAAGCAGATTCATGAAAGGACGAGCAGATCCCTTGCCCTGTTTACTGTGAAAGCACTAACGCATTCCTTTTCCTGCTTCAATAAAACGTACAAGAAGTCTTTATCCCCATGCTGCAACTTAGAGAAGTGCAAAAAAAAAAACATTTACCATTTCACAATCGTTGTGGATTTTTTTTTAAGCAAGGATAAGAAAAAAAATTTGCTATGATTAGAGGTTTCTCTCTGATTCATATATCTGAGGGCGCCAATCCCCGAATCGCATTTAGTGCTGCTCTTGGTGACCTCATATCCATGCAGGCTGACGAGTTTTCTGGTAAGCGTGGTCTGCTCCAATCATCGCGAAATTCGGTCTTTATTCGAGCGTTATGAGACATGTTTGTGGAGCAGCTCTTAGACACCACTGTAGCCCACTGTTTGAAAGAGAGAAGATCTTAACTCTTACTTGTCTTTATATTCTTGAGACAGTTTGCCTTGTCTACAAAAAATATAAGGATCCTACAGACATGCATCTCTATTCAATGAGACATTTTAATACTCCATCACCATAACCTAGATTCACTATCACACAAAATTTCTGATACCTATACAAAGGTATTAAAGTTCACAATAAATTACCAACTAATTTTGAAGACCTTGGCAGCTATGCCTTACTCATACGTTCGTATTGATGTAGAAACAAAATAGCAATCAAGATGATGCTTTCAAATTGGGTATTGCTCAGTGCTAATTTTGTCTTATGTTTTGCAATGTTTGCTTATTTGTTTTTGGATCTTGGGACGGATTCTAATTTGTCTTTGTTTATTTTTATATTACAAGCTTTTATTTAGCTTCACATGTTCTGTCTAACTATCTAACTATCAAATCTTGTGAAGCGTTTTTGACACACTTCCCATTATCCGATTTGGATAAAATTTGATATACACATAGTGGTCCGATGATAATACAACAATAAGAAAAAAAAATATCTTCCCACCCCTACCCCCACCCCCTTCCATAGAAAAATTTGTTTTTCTATTTTGGTGTCATATCGAAGTCTTTTCGACACTAAAAGTAGTTTCGAAAAGAAGCTCTTTGTGACACTCCTTTTTTACTTATCGGAGGTTGGTAACACTGACTGACTGATGGCCATCGAACTGTCATTCGCGATAAAAAATAATAGAAGATTTCTATATTTGGCATGTAGTGTTACCAACCTAAACATATGAAATCAGGAAATATGAGAATAGAATTTCCAAGAAGTTTTTTTAAAAATTAAACAATACCAAAATAGAAAAAATAGTATAAAATATTCGTTTCATAAGACATTTTATCGCACTCGCCCTTTAGAAAACTCGCCTCCGGCTCGTTTTCTAATATAGGACTCGTGCGATAAAATGACGTCTTATGAAACTTGTATTTTAATGTACTATTTTGACACACTCCCGTTATCCGATTTGGATGAAATTTGGTATACATATAGTGATCCGATGACAATACAATATTAAGAAAAAAATATCCTCCCACCCCTACCCCCACCCCCTTCCATAGAAAAATGTGTTTTTGACACACTTCCCATTATCCGATTTGGATGAAATTTGGTATGCACATAGTGGTCCGATGACAATACAACATTAAGAAAAAAATATCTTCCCACTCCTACCCCCACCCCCTTCCATAGAAAATGCGTTTTGACACCCTTCCCATTATCCGATTTGGATGAAATTTGGTATACATATAGTGGTCCGATGACAATACAACATTGAAAAAAAATATCCTCCCACTCCTACCCCCACCCCCTTCCATAGAAAATGCGTTTTTGACACCCTTCCCATTATCCGATTTGGATGAAATTTGGTATACATATAGTGGTCCGATGACAATACAACATTGAAAAAAAATATCCTCCCACTCCTACCCCCACCCCCTTCCATAGAAAAATGCGTTTTTGACACACGTCCCATTATCCGATTTGGATGAAATTTTGTATACATATAGTGGTCCGATGACAATACAACAATAAGAAAAAAATTTCCCCCCACCCCTACCCCCACCCCCTTCCATAGAAAAATGCGTTTTTGACACACTTCACTGCAAATGACTTTTATAAAATTTGGTATATGCATAAAGGTCCGATGGCAATACAGCCCAAACAAAAAATATATTTCTACCTCTACCCCCACCCTCCCCCCCGCCACAATAGAAAAATGAGTTTCCAAACAAACTAAGAGTTCAAAAATGTAATATCATAAACTTTTTGAGCAAATATTTTCATTTAATAGGGTAGATAGCTGAGACTAAAAAGTAGAAAATAAATTGGTAAAAAAAATTTTTTAAGTCACAAGCTTTTATAAAATGCACTAAAAATTAAAAAATAATTTTCCAGCATTCTGATATTATCATAATAATAAAAGCGATGGCCGCAAATCAAAGCATAAGTTAATCTAAATTTGTGATCTAAACACTTAAAGAATATTCAACATAGCAGGTCATCAAAGATAATATGTTTGATGTGCCGCAATGTTATGCCATTGCCATACCTATGTCAGAGAAATGCTGGGGTATCTTGGGTCGGGTTGGGTGGGTTTGGTACCTTTGTATTTTTCTGCTAGACAGATTCTTGAAAATAGTGATATTTAATTGATGAGTCGGCCATCGCTTTTATTATTATGATAATATCAGAATGCTGGAAAATTATTTTTTAATTTGTAGTGCATTTTATAAAAGCTTGTGACTTAAAAATTTTTTTTTACCAATTTATTTATTGTGACATTGTTTTACATTTTATCCATGCTTGTGTTCATTATGAATATGATTGTAATCCTAGGCATAATCTAGCTTTAAGTATTTGCTTCGTCAATAAAACTTTTTTTTTTTGATTTTCTGACAATAAGGCTTATTTTGATTTGATCTGATTTATTTTACCACACCAATGCCCAACACTCTAGCATGAGTCTTGTGATGCAGATTTGAAGCCATTGCATCAATTTTGGTTTAAATCTTGTTCTTATTATCTACCTGGCTATCCTTATCAGTTCACCAAAAATTCTAAGGTCGTTAAAGTTCCCTAGGTTTCTTCCGTTCACCAAGCCTTTTGTGAGTTGATCATAAGTTATGATGGATAGGATTATCTTCTTTAGTGAGCCAAAACTGGACCGATATTATAATAAATAACAATACGTTTAAAGAATAATTCATTTTCACATTATGTTAAATTTGGAAATTATTTCTAAATTATTTTGACTTCAAGTAGGTATATTGAATTTGTTGAAGCTCTTTTTGGTATTTGCAAAAAAAAAAAAACAGAAATTATAGGTACTTACTGACAAGTGACCTTCATGATGTTCTGGAAAGTATCTATACAAATAATCTGATGCGATAAGTTGTAGCACGGTATCGCCTAAAAATTCTAATCTCTGGTTGGATCCCATAGTTAAGTTTGTATATCCCACGCTTCTATCTGTGAAAGCTCTAGCTAATAACCTAATGTGGTTGAATTCGACGTTAATATTCCGCTCAAATTCAGTTAATTTATTAAGTATATCAAATTTCTCTATCCAGTGACGATCACCTGTAGGCTCTTGCTCCTGCAGAGGATGTGGCGGAAGATTGACCCAAACCTGAAAAAAAAATATGTATTTTTAGCATTAGTGGAATGGCCTAAAATGTTTTAAAATTAAACTATTGTGACGAACATGTGGCGCCTCCGCCAGGGCGCACAGAATCGCATAGCTGAATTCTAGAACGTACAGCGTTATTCCGGATAAAGACTATTGCGTTATTCTGAATTTTACAGGATAGGATTACGGATATATACACATAAAGGTCGGGATTAGTTAGTAGTTTTAAGATTGGCTGTCATACGATTTAGATAGTGAATATTGTAAGAGTTGATTGAGTTAATTGGTGAAGTAATCAGCGTCAGAGTGTTGTGGTTACGTTGAATAAATTATTGTTGCGTTACTTGGACTTTGATGTTTTTCATAAACGGGTCCAAGATTTCTGTCACGCACACCAGAGCCGTGACACAATCTGAAACTCTCACTACGAACGTAGTAAGCAGTGGTCATTTCCATTCGACACATGGGTTTGATGGGGTTTTGAGGGACTTGAAAACCCCGTCATTTATGTGAGATTATCTGTTCAAGGGTTCCTGAAAATGCTCCTTCCATCGAGAGTTGATAGAAGCAGGATCTTCAAATAGCTGTCCTTCCTCTAGATCTAAGGAGATTAGACCTTTTATTGCTTTTAGGGCGCTGGAGAATGCTTTGATGTGATGTGCACCATTGGTTTTTTTAGTTTGTGGCGAACTTATGACAGATATCCAATTTACACATGTTTTTTTAATAAAAATATCTATTTATTAATATTTTGAACTCTACTTATCACAGTTAATTAACCTAAAAAATATTGTAACTCTAGCTAAACATTTTTTTTTAAATCCTATTCTTTTAAAAAGCTAGCAATATTCGTCACCTCACCCACAAACGTTGATAATTTGACGAAATGCATTTGGTAAGTTGACGAAACAACAATAGCAAATGAAAAAAATATCACTTCAATTTCTTGCAAGCTCAAATTTATTCGTTTTACCAGACATTGTAGGCGTCTTCCTTCCTCTTCTGGTCGATGACGTTCAGAATAAGTGTTCTCATCAAACCAATCCCGGGATCTCCTTGCGATGAAGCCCATTCATTCTTGGCAGGCTGTCCGCATAGCAATTTTAAGCCTTAACCAGTGCTGCTGTCGGGATATTCAGCAGACAACAAACATCACCAAAAACCCAGCACTAAGTGCAACTCGTATCGCTTGCTCAAAAATGGCCGCTCGCTTCGATCTCGTATTTTGAATTATTTTCTTTTTCTGAAAATACTCACGGCCTAACGGCCTAGATGAGATTTTTAAATATTGGCATTTTTCGAAATTATTTTTTTCTAAATACGCATGTTGTCAAATGGCAGAAGAACAATTTTTAAAAAAATGAAAGTTTCTTATTGAAAATAAAGCGATTTTCAAAAACCAAAATTACACTAAAGAATCTGTACTATCTTAAAAGTAATAATAAAGTTTTTGAATGTGTAAGTTTTGTGTATCCGCCGCGCCGTTTTGTACATCCTAGAAATTGCCTATTTCGGGATGGCGCGTATCGCATTAAACAGGTCCATACAAATACAAAAAAAAATGTGACGGATATGTACTTGGCGCCTCCACCAGGGCGCACAGAAAAAGGCTATTGCGTTATTCTAGATTTTACAGGAATAGATTATGGATATATAAAGGCCGGGATTAGTTAGTAGTTTGAGTTTTAAGTTTGGCTGTGATACGAGTTAGATAGTGAATATTGTAAGAATTAAGTTGATTGAGTTAATTAGTGAAGTAATTACTGTCAGAATGTTATATTAACGTTGAATAAATTATTGTTGTGTTAATTAGACTTTGAGTTTTGAATAAACGGACCCAAGATTTGTCACGCACGCCAGAGACGTGAAATTAGTGTCAGAAGTGGAATATAACTCGAGAACTGCAAAGTGAAATCCGATTGCAGAATAGTGTGGACACTAGTGAACACTACGGCAGTTAGTCAGTGTAAGCAGTGACAATACAAAAAAGAGACTCACCCGATGGTGTAAACAACCCCGGAAGTGACTATATCCGATTTTGACTGTGATAGTGAATTTTCAAGTAAGTTCTAGAAAATTATATTCATAATCTAAGAGAAATATCGAATTTCTGACTTCGCCAACGTATTTGATACATCAATCGACATTCAAAAAAGACATTTCAAGAAAACTCTAGAACATTCTATTCGAGAATAAAGCAAGTTATCTAATTTCTGAATTCACCGACGTGTTTGGAACTTCAATCAAAGACGAGGAAAGATATCTGAAGAGAGTTTGAGGGAAATTCCAGAACATCCTCTATATGCCTATTACGAGAGAGCAAGCAAAAAGGGAAGAATGAAAAATTGAAGAAGTTTTGCGCAGAACTTCAAGAGACCAAACAACAACAAGAAAAACAAGAAGAACAAGCTGAACGACAAAAAAAAACAAGAAGAAGCTAGACGACAACAAGAAGAGACTAAACTACAAAAAGGAAAACAAGAAGAAGAAGCTAAACGACAACAAGAAAAACAAAACGAAGAGGCCAGGAAAAGACAAAAAGAAAAACAAGAAGAAGAAGCTAGGCGACAACAAGAACGGCAAGAAGACCTTGGACAACTGCAGAAAATATTTCAAATTATACAAGGATCTGTCGCTGACCTAGAACAAAACATTGAGGAAGTAAAAGCCGAAGGTAAAGACAATGTTCAAGAAGTTAAAGACAGTGTTCAAGAAGCTGAAGATGACGTTCAGCAATTAAGACAAGAAGTTGAGGACCACGTTCAAGCACTTGAAGATAAGATAAATAAATTTAAAATACACTCCATCAATCCAGGTAGTGTTGGAGCATTCTCTAGTATGAAGATAAAACCACCAACTTTTGACAGTTCTACGTCCTGGACCATGTAAATCCGACAATTTGAAGCTGATGCAGATACCAACAGATGGAACGATCCAGAAAAAGTTACAGCACCGATAATGGCGCTACGAAGACCTGCCTTAGATCTTCTTCAGTCAATTCCTTCACTATACCAACAGAATTACCAGCATCTAAGTCAGCTGTTAGAATTGCGCTTCGGAGACCATTACAGACAAGAAGTATTTAGTAGTCAAGTTAAATCAAGAATTCAAAAACCCGGCGAGAGTTTCAAGAATTCGAATCGGAAGTTAAAAGGCTGGTGAGTTTGACGTTTCCTGCAGCTGCGGAAGACATGTAGGAATAGATGGCAGTATCTGCGTTAATTGATGGTCTCAGATATTCCAAGATCCAGGAAAACCTGAGAATGTCTAAGTTCAGAAAAAGTAGCGAAGCTCTCTTCCGAGCATTGGAACTGGAAGCTCCAAACAAAAACCAACACCGAGAAACCGAGTAGGAACAATGTTACCGGTGCCATAAGCTTGGACATATTCAACGGGATTGTAGAGTAAGGATGTCCTCTCCATCTAGGGATCATTGCCAACGCTTTTCGAGATCTAAAGACGCCAGCCCTAATAACAGACAGCTTGCTAGATGGAGAAATTGCGGCAATACTATTTCCAAATTAAACATCGACCTGGAAACCTACTGACGCTCTGTCTAGACGGCCATGCAAAAAAGACTGCAAGCATTGTGAAAACATCCATATGCATAAGAAAAACACTGGTTCAGCTGTGAGAAGAACGGGTGTTATCATTGATGATAAATGGACTACCAAACAAATGAGAGCAGATCAAGAGGCAGACCAGGACATCAGGCAAATTTTACATCTCAAAGAAAATTATGAATGTAGGCCAGAATGGAGGTAAGTGTCGAACTAGAGTTTGATTTACAAGGCGTTGTGGGCTCAGTGGAACTCTCTGGCCGTAGAAAAGGGTTTACTGAAAAGAGTTTGGGAAAGTGCCGATGGGAAAACGACTAAGAGTCAACTAGTTATTCCAAAAGATCGAGTAGAAGATGTATTAAAAGAAATACATGACGGAACTTCAGGGGCACATTTTGGAGTTAACAAGCCTTTGGACAATATTCGGGAACGTTTTCACTGGGTCCATTATCATGAAGACATTTAAAACAGATGCCGAGAATTCGACATCTGGTGCTACCAGTATGTATAAAGGCACCAAACTAAATTCTCGGGTGCCCATGAAACAGTACAACGACAGTCTCCCATTTGCAAGAATAGCGATAGATGTTGCCGGACCGTTCTCTGAGTCAGAGCGTGGTAACAAATACATGTTGGTTATCATGGATTACTTTAGTAAATCGCCAGACGTTTTCGCTATTTCCAATCAAGAAGCCATTGCTATTGCCCAAGTGCTGGTGGACTAAGTTTTTAGTCGTCATGGTGTGCCACTAGAGTTGCATTCTCAGAGACGAAACTTCGAATCTACCATCTTTAAAAAAATTGTCAATAGGAGAAAGTCCAGCTAGAATCGTTTTTGGAAGGGAACTCAGGTTACCTTGCGATCTACTGGAGTACTATGTAACGTATAGAGATCGTTATTTCTATTTGTATGACACTTGCTGTCTTCTTCTCTCTCTCCGAAATCAATAGAGATGGGACGTCAATAGAGATAGAGCTGATGTTTGAAATACCTGAAGAAGAACGGAAAGAAATTCGAGATTATGCCGACGAAGTAAGGGCACGACTTCTAGGGATATATGATTTAGCTCGGGAGCATATTCAGCTGGCCAGTGACCGAATGAAAATAAGATACGACTTGAAAGCTAATTCAGCCGGATTTCAAAAAGGTGATTTAGTGTGGCTGTATAATCGAACAAGAAATAAAGGAATGTCGCCAAAATTGTCTTCAGCATGGGAAGGACCCTACAGAATAATCAAGAGAATCAATGATTTGGTTTATCGAGTTCAGCGCAACACCAGGAGTAAGATGAAGTTGTACTAGTTGTCTAGCACGTACACCGCCACCATGAGATGACCAAAACCAAGCCCTCCAGGCCACACTCCGATTTTTTGTGTTTCAGATCAGATTAAAGTGTACATATGGAATATATGATAAAAAAATACCATAATTTTTTTTTT